GGATGGATGTCCACAAGGAGCACAAGGGTCTGCATAGTAATCACGTCAATCCTTTTACAGTGAAAGCGTGCCACCTTCAGCACTTTTAGATATGTGAAACACAAAACTATGAGAGAGAGGAGGAAGCTGAAGGAATGAAAAATGCCTGTGAAAATCATAAACTGGGTCCTGTCCTCCAGTCTCTTATTGTACAGGGTGCAGGAGGCATAAAGATGGTGGAATCCCACCCAAGAAAGAGAAGTTGCCACGATTGGGAAGGACACTGAGTGAAACCACGTGTAGCTCAGTATGAGGGCAGCATCTTTGTAGCGCATCTTGGAATGATAGTTTAGAGGAAACACCACTGCTATCCACCGGTCAATGCTGAGAGCTGCCATGCTCAGCATGGAGTTGGTAGTCAAAAAAGTCTCTAAAAAACCTACTATGTGGCAAAGCTGGTCTCCTCCTGGTGGATTCTTGTAAATGATCCCAGCCAGAGTGAGGGGCATGTTCAAAGCAGTCATCAACAAGTTGCAGAAGGTCAGGTTGAGGATAAACAATCCTGGGACTTGCTTGCGAATATCTGCACTATACAGAAAGCAGATCAGCACCAACACATTGGACAGCAACGACACAAGGATGAGCACCACAATCAAGAAAGCCAGGATCACCTCCCAAATGTTCATGGTGCCTCCATTCACAGGAGGAACATTTCCAAAACTGCACCCAGCTGGCATCCAGAAAACATGGTGCGAGGCACTCTCACACCCTCCTCCTCCTCCCCAGCCTGCTCACACTCCTGCATGCCCTCCGTATTTTTAGAAGAGCTGCAGTTCCCCCCCACCCCCCTGCTGCTGCTTCTTTCCACGTCAATGCTTTTTAGAGAGAGATACACAAAAAGCAATAGGAATGCCCATTAAACTACAAAGGGGGGTGCTTTTTAAAAAAACAAACAAACCGTGTGGATCATCCAGAATCAAGGCACGACTCCTCTAAAGAGAGCAGAATACTCTGAGCAGCAGGTCTTCTGAGATCTCTAATTATTGGTCCTAATGCTTCTCAGCAATTCAGGCAGTGTATTTATTCTCTTTTCCTCCCTTCCTCTCTGTCTCTCTCTCCCTTGCTCTCACTCTCTCTCCCCCGCCCACCTACAAGCTTTCAGGCTGACTCTAACCTGCTTTTATGATCACAGATATATCCCCCATTAATGGATTAAAGTGTGCACACTGCTGGTGATTTGTTGGCATGATTGATTCTCCATCATTTTCTTTTTTATTTTCCCTCTCCTTGCTACCCCCAGTGCACATTTCCTATATCAGTTTCATACCTTAGTGATTTTGAACAACCAATCCCAGAGTTCCACCCTCTTTTTCACCTACTTCTACCCCCTCGTGCATCCGAAATGAATTTACTCTTCTTTTATTTATGTTGGCTAACTTCATTCCAGGAATGCCAAAGAACAATACACATTTTCCTTCACTGTCCCTGTTCTTTTCACAAAATATATAATCTGCACTGAATTTCAAGTTCTTTAATGAAACAGAAAATGCCTCCATCACAGAAGGGAGGGAGGGGGGAAAACACCCTCCAGACTGTCCCAGAGTTTCAGCTAAAGAAAATCTTTTGCGGTTGTAGACTAACGTGTATTTACACCTATGGGTGTTTCCAAAGAAATCAGAATCCTTTGTATAGGCATGATTGTAGGGGAAACAAAGGGTGGAGGACAGGTGAAAGAAATGAGGAGAGAAAAGGACAAAAAGTGGAAGGAACTGCAAAATAAATAAAGAGGATATATGAGACTTGCTGGAGGGCCCCTGTTGATTCAGATTCTAAGTGGTGATTCACTGGCCTTATAATTTTCTACAACAATGAGGAATTGGTGCTGTGATTTTAAATCTTTGGAAACTCACGTTTTCAAGGACTAAACATGCCAAGTAAAGGTACTCCATCATTCAGAATTTCAAAGGCATTTTTTAAATTCCACCTTTATTATTATTTTTATAAATAACTCAAGGTGGCGAACATACCTCATAGTCCTTCCTCCTCCTATTTTCCCCACAATAACAACCCTGTGAGGTGAGTTGGGCTGAGAGAGAGCGACTGGCCCAAAGTCACCCAGCTGGCTTTCATGCTTAAGGTGGAACCAGAACTCTCAGTCTCCTGCTTTCTAGCCTGGAGCCTTCACCGCTAGATCTATTCCTCATTCTAATTTCTAGGCTCCTCCCCTCCCACAATTTTCAGCATTGACTTTGAAAGTTTGAACTCCTTCCATGAAAGAGATGTTCAGAAGTTATATATTCCCCTATCATACTAATGCGTCATGCACTATTTTGGAGCAAAAAAGAAAAAAAAATGCTTCAAGAAAGTAACCAAATCCATCTGAATCTAACTATTTCCCCTTTTGAAGTTACTGATAAATGTCATGGACAGAGATATCAGGGAGATTTTTAACAGAAAATAATTATATAAGGCACAGAAACACAGCAAATGTTGATATGGATAAATGAGACTTAGAGCTAGGTGATAGACTTATTTGCCAAAAGGAGAGCCATGAGGACTGCTGTTATTATAACAAGAAAGGCTGTTAATAAATCTTACATTAGGGAGTATGAGAGAAATATTTCTCAAGTGTGTGAGTGAGAGAGAGAGAGAGAGAGAGAGAGAGAGAGAGAGAGAGAGGATGAGGGGGGAAAGCTATGTGTAAGAAATAAGATGGTGACTTCTCTTATTCTGAAATAGAAAATAATGTAGGTTTTCAGCATTTCAGTAGGTGGAAGTAGCTTAGGCTCTATATCTAAGTATATACTGTATATGACAAACAGATAAAGAAGGACATTCTTCTCTGCTACAGAAGAGAGAAATGGGGGAAGAACTGTGTGCGGAGGACAAAATTGTGTTACGAATTCTGAAAGCACGTACAGTGAATGCATCAAGTCAGGGAGCAAAGAAAGCCGAATTGTATCCTGGTGGTCTGCATGGAGGCTCTGCATATACATAGCGGATGAGGAGATGAGGTTGTGGTCAGGAGAAGGAGGGTAGGGGGAAAACAACTACTCTGAGAGTGGAGGGGCAAAGAACTTTTTTTATGATTGGCAAGAGAGTTAGGAAATTCACAGCCAGAAGAAAAGGTCTGAGGCACCCCACAAATATTTTTTATGATGAAAAAAATTAGAGTCCTATGAACCTCAATTGTGCATCACACAAGTTGCTTTCTTCCAACATTTTTTTTCAAACCTACATTAGTTGAGGGCTAAGCCACCTTAGAAGAAGTATTGGTTAAAATGCAGACTAGAGAGCCTTTTTCAGTCAACAACAACAGCAAGACTGTAATGTTTCCCTTGAAACTTTCAGTGAAAATGTGAACAATAATGGCTCACCTCAACCAAGAGCCTTCTATTTTAAAGGGATCTGTCTGCCAGGCTACAAGGCTTTCAGAACACTGAAGCAGTGCTGAGTGTTTTCCACACCTTATCTTTCCTCCTTGTGAATCACTAATGTCTCCGTTATCATTTAGGTTTTTTTTTTTTTAATGCAAAGAATGGCTGAAGAAGTTTTGCCCCTTTTTATTTGTTTGTTTGTTTTTTTGTCCTTGCCTGAGGGGCTTTTAAGAAAGACTTGAAAATCAAATTAATCCAGCAGCAGCAGCAGCTGCCAACACAAATCTTTGACTAGGAAATCTTCTGTGGGTGGATCTGTGGGGGCGGAAAGCAGTGCACTTTCCTGTGGACAGTTTCTGAGCGTTATTGGAGCTTTATTCCATATAATGCATGAGGTATTGAAAAATGTTCATTTCTGGTTGTGCGATGTATGAACATAGACTTTCTAAATACAGTCATTGAATAGATGTACATGTAAAACCTGTTTCTATCAACACAGTACAGGTGCTGGGCTTTCTCTTAAGGGGCTGGTATTAAAATGAGAAATTATCTTCTTCATTGTCAGAAAAGATAAGATGAGAAGGAGGAGGAGGAGGAGGAGGAGGAAGTAGCTTTCATATAATTATATCAAAACTATCATTTAGGGCACAAAAAGGGTCAGACCATAAGATCTGGCAAAATTCTTTATTCCACTGACCAAATGATAAGAAGCTGACTGAAGGAGGAGAGGATTTGGGTAGGGGGAAAAAAACAGCAGCTGAAAAGGTGGGAGAAGTTAGAAAAATCTACTTAATTTACATAAGGTTTAGTGGACTGGTGTATACATGTTTCGTTTGTTTGCTGTTTGGGACATATTTCCAGAGCAGCAACATTTTATTCCATGTACTCTAATCTAAACTTTATAAGATGCCTGGACACTCTCTTTAATTTAAATTTAATTTTTAAAAATAACAATAAAAAGCCCAACACAGCTACAATAATGCTGGACTCCTTGAAAAGCAGGAGATTCTTCCCTGGACAGTCCATTTGACCCTATAATATTAAAAATGTAAAGCAAGGGCAGGAGGAGTTTACACAATTGGGGCTTCCTTCTGAGGGCAAGATTCTTCTTTTTCTTTTCAGTAGCCACAATATTCCCTGATGGGAGAAAAGAAAACACTTCAGATGTGAAATACGTACTCCTTTGGGCTTTATTAATGGTAGTAAATCCCCTTCATCCCATGGCAAAGATGAGCCCCCTGTTTTTCAGGTCACCATGGATACATTTGATATCAACATCTGAGATTACCTGAGACATTTTGTAGGCCACTGACAACTGGGAACCAGATAAACTTCATAAACTGACTTTTCCCGCCCTGAAGCTGTATTGAGTCTTTTCGAAGTTGTCTAGGAAGTAAGAAAGGGCTCCCAAAACCTGTGCTGCCTTACTCGTGTATAAAAAGGTAAAATAGAAAAAGATGAAACAATTTCTATAGTACAGCCTCCTGGCCATGTAGCATAAAGATGTGTGATTAGAGGTTTTATCCCTCTAATCCTTTAGAGATAGACCAATCTCATAAGGGAGGAAAAATGCTGGCGGCGCCTTGCAAAAAGGAGTCGGGAGCAGTTGCTGGTAAGCGCGAAAAACCGGGCGCGCCCAAAAAG